GATTAGTTTGTTCACTCCTTTCACAACTACTGTTACTGTTGCTATAGATGGATTTATATTAGTCATTTTACCTTTTGTTTTCTAAATGTCTTGCATTTTTTGCTCTTCTAATCTCCTTTACTGCTCTCTTTTCGTATTACATGCATATTTTAAAACTTAGCATTTTAATTTCTTTAATGATTTTTCATTAGTTTTGAATTATTTCCTTAGTAGTTGCTTTAGGCATATCATGCATACCTTATCAGAGCTTCCGATTTACATGAATTCAGTGAAATACAGAAACATTATTCTTACATAACTCTATTCCCCTCCCCCTTTGTTGTATTATTATTTTTTTAATGTTTATTTATTTTGAGACAGAATGGGGGGGAGAGAGAGAGAGAGAGAGAGCAAGCAAGCATGTGCATGTGAGCAGGGGAAGGGCAGAGAGGGAGAGAGAAAATCCCAAGCAATCTCCACACTCTACACAGAACCCGATGCAGGGCTCAAAGTCACATGATCTGAGCTGAAATCAAGAGTTGGATGCTTAATAGAATGAACCACCCAGGCACCACTGTGGTATTATTTTTATACATATTCCCTTTGCAAATGTTACAAACCCAACAATACATAATTTTTTGTCTTTCATAGTTTTTATTTTATATAATTTTGTCTTTCAAAGAAGCTAAAGGAGAAGAAAGGAAGAAGAGGAAAGGAAAGCAGGTATATATTTAAGCTTTTGTTATATTAACCTTGTTGATCATCTCTAATTCTCTTCATAATTGTTTCTATTTGAGTTATTATCTGGAGTCATTTTCTTAGACCAATATAGCTTTGCTCCCACCACCTCCTTTGTACTGTTACTGGTAAATATACTGCACTTCTATATGTTATAGACCCAATAATACATTATATATCATTTTTTTAATATTTCATTTGATTCATTTGCTTTTTAAACCCATTAAGGGAATAAAGATAAAGAAATATACACTTATACTTTTATAGTTACATATTGCTTTACTGGTGTTATTCCTGTTTGAGGTCACTTAACTTTCATTCTGTAGAACATTTTTTTCTAATGTTTATTTTTGAGAGAGAGTGATAGACTGTAAGCAGGGGAGGGGTAGGGAGAGAGGGAGACAGAAAATCCAAAGCAGGTTCCAGGTACTGAGCTGTCAGCACAGAGCCTGATGTGGGGCTCGAACCCCAAGACGTGGGTCAGCCCCAAGATCATGACCTGAGCTGAAGTCGGCCACTTAACTGACTGAGCCACCCATGAACTTCCTTCCTTTCTTATAAGGCTGGTCCACTAGCAATAAATTCTCTCAGGTTTTATCTGGGGATATTTTTATTTTATCTTCACTTTTGAAAGGTAATGGTTTACAGAATATAGTACTCTTGGTTGAGAATTTTTTCTTTGATCACTAAGTGTTATCCCACTGCCTCTGACCTCCATTAATTCTGCTGAGAAGTTAGCTGTTGACCTAACTGGGGTTCTATGGTAAGCGATGAGTCTTTCTTCTCTTGATGCTTTAAAATTTTTCTCCTTGCCTTTGGCTTCCAGTATTTTTACTCTGATGCATCTTATTGTGGAACTTTTTGAATGTATCCTATTTGGAATTAGGGCCACCTGGGTGGCTCAGTCAGTTAAGCGTCTGACTTTAGCTCAGGTCATGATCTCACTCATGGTTTGTGGCTTTGAGCATGTCGGGCTCTGTGCTCACAGTATGGAGCCTGGAGCCTGCCTCGGGTTCTGTGTCTCCCTATCCCTCTGCCCCTCCCCTGTTCGGCTTTCTGTCTCTCAAAAATAAACATTAAAAAAAAATTATCCTATTTGGAATTAGCTGAGCTTCTGGAATGTATAGGTTATTGTTCATTAATAAATTCAGGAAATCTTTAGCCATTATTTCTTCAAATATTTTTTTCTGTACCTTTCTGTCCTCTTCTGGGTTATATGTATGATGGTGCACTTAATGGTATCCCACATTTCCCTAAAGCTCTGATCATTTTTCTTCATTCTTTTTTTCAAATTGCATCATCTCTTGTCATCTATCTTCAAGTTTGCTAATTCTTTCTTCTGCTAATTCAGATCCAGTAACAAGCCCCTCAAGTGAATTTTTCAGTTCAGCTCTTGTACTTTTAAACTTTGTAATTTCCTTTTGGTTCTTTTTTTTGTAACTTCTGTCTCGGTACCGATATTCTCTATTTGATGTGACAATGTCATCATACCTACCTTTATTTTGTTAATCATGCTTTCCTGGAATTCTTTGAACATACTTATAATGGCTACTTTGAAGTCTCTGCCTATTAAATCCAGTATCTGATTGCTCTCACTGGCAGTTTCTGCTGCCTGCTTTTTTCCCCAGTGTATGGATCATATTTCTGTCTTTTTGCAGTCTTGGAATTTTTTTGTTGCTGAAAACTGGACATTTTTTAGTGAGGTGTACTTCTTCCCTCTTCCCCACTGGCCCCCAGTGTGAAGCTTCTAACATTGCTCCTCAGGTGGTATAACTTCGGGTATGCCCACAGTCTCCATTCTAAGACAGTGGTTTTGACAGGGCTCTCTTTGTCTCTTTCTCTGACCACACTCAACTGTTAAGTTCCACTAATCAAAGCTGATTGCTCTATTGTTTCCTATAATGCCCAGGGACATATATTGTCTTATAGACTGATCTCATCAAGTTCAGGCTGTTTTAAAGGGATTTCTGTGGTGTTTGAGATTCTGATCCAAGGGTTCCTTCCAGCTGTCTCTTTCACCAATCCTCTCACTAAACTAGATGGTCTACAGATTAGCCTATATACCCAATGACTCTATTATTCTCCTACCTATTGCCTATCACCACAAACTCCATTATTTTTGATAGAACTCTATGGTTCAACTTTTTCCACACTCATTTGCAAATGAAGTTAGTTCCTTTGGGACTGATTGAGAGTTCTCTGTTCTATGCTCAGCTTCTCCTCCCTCTACCTCTCCACCAGATAACATCTCAGATGCAGGGCTCTGGTGATGGGGACAGGCACAATGGTGCTACTTTTGAGTGACATACCCACGTTAGGAGCTGAGTGCTTGTGGGAGGAGAGGCAGCAGCCCCAGGGACCCTCAGTTTGCTTCTCTTGGCAGGGAATTCACACATTTAAGCTGTGGCAAGGATGACTGGTACCCCAGCAACAGAAGAATGGAGGGCCCACTTCTTAGCCACAGTTGCCTGGAATATAACTTTAGCATCAGGTAGCTTGGGGGCAAGATGAGAAATACTGATATCCTGCCTCTCATAGGAGGACAGCCCTCCTACTGGGAGCCGGGGAGAGAAGAAGCCCTATGTTCTTGGATTTACTAGTCTGAAGTAGAGTTTCTGTCTTACTGAGCTGGGGGAATAAAGAAAGGAGTGGTCTTCCTTCAAATACCACAGACTCCTGATATTTTTACCAAGTTTCAGATTTTCTTAAACAAATGTTTCTACATTTGCTCCACTCTTAGGACTATTTCGAGAGAATTTAGATACTTTCTTTTAAATAATTTTCACCAGTTTTGCTGGGGAGTGGGTCAGCAGAACTCCTTATGTTATTGTGCCAGAAGTGGAGTTCTTTTGGTGCTTCAGTACAGGTTTTTGAGTGGACGTATGTTTAAAATGCTCTTGGGCATATACCTAGGAGTGGACTTGCTGAGTCATGTAGTAAGACTGACTTTCTATGATTTTACAAATTATTCTTTTAAGCAGTGAGGCTACAAGGAGAGTCAGAGAGAATTTTCTCACAGCCAAAATCTGTTTAATACTACCTCCTCAGCTTACAAAGACAGCAATGCAGAGACTGCGAATTCTGTATTCTACCCATGTCAAACATGTGATGCACTCACTAACTAGATGTGAGCAGCAAAATTCACCTCCACACTCTAGCCTCCTTCCTGATAATTATTACTATAACCAAAACAAAGGCTAGCTAAAATTTTATACCATCTGCTCTGTCTCAACAAATTTTCTACTGCATACCATAGTAGGCTTTCACTGAAAGTATGTGTAAGTTTTCAATGAAGACAAAATTTCTAAAGATGACCCTGGGGTCTACCTGGGTATTTTTTTCAGTGAAGAGATGCTACTCTCAGGTAAGGGCATTCCATATGAACACATCATAACAGTTTTTGTAAAACCATGCTTAGCTTTTACAAATCATGCTCAGGAGAAAGAAAACATTTTAATAAGAAAAACATTTTACTTATTAAAATAAACATAGATTTAAACAAAATATGCATACTTTTTGAGATAAAATGGAACTTTTCAAAGAGCTCTTTTGAGCTTTACCAATTTGGATGGTACCCTCAGATTCTGCAGGATGCACATTGCACTCACTCATCACAGCAGTTAGAGGTACTTAGGTAGAAACATCGAGGAGCCCTGCCCTGAACAATCACATTATCATGAGAACACGCACACCCTTACACACATAGCATCCTATTTACATTAAAAACTCCTTCAGGATAGAGCTATCCCTACTATTCTGCATATTCCCAATAAGCTTATTAAAGCATGCTACTCACAGTGGGGATCAGATAAATGATATTTTAAAGAGATCCCTAGCAGTAAGGCTGATGAGACTGAAAACAAAAGGACTAGGATCAAAGGATCCTTACAGGTTGCCTGTGAAATCAGCTTAGATATTCTGGCGGCAACCTGAACCGAAGAACTTACCTTGACCCCTCACCACATGATAGGTAACAAATTGCATTTAATACTGTAGTCAGATTAAACAAATATTCTTTAAAAGGTCAACAAGTCTAATTAGAGGAAGTAGTCCTTACATAAACTGTTTGCCTTGGGGAAAAAACAAAACAGAAGTAAACTACTCTGAAACATGTCAGTGTTTAACCATTTTATCATGCCCAACCTCTGCTATCTGCTGGAGTTTGTCAGCCATGATATATAGAAACTGATATTAAATAACCAAGCACTTAGCCATTGTTTAACTGATAGGAAAGAGTACTTTCTTAATTTATGAAAAGAACAGTATAACAGATTCAAACTAACCTTGGGGTTCGCTGACCAACACCAACAATTTTAAGATGCCAGGGAGGAGCAGTTCAACCTCAGAAATGTCTATGTTAGTTTCTTTGAAGAGCTGGAGGATGAAGGCCAGGATAGATGCCAAGCGAGGAGGGAGCAGGGACCCTTTACACTCAAAGTAGGACTTCCTAAAAAGAAGCACAATTTTGTTTTTTCTTCTGTTTAAAGTTTCAGTGAACAGAACCAAAAGTCACCCACTTTAGAGATACTGACAAATTTTACCCAACTTAATAAAGCACAACTAAAAAAATATACGTATATTTTGCCATGCTATCCTCAAACACAAAATTTTAGAAGCATAAGCATATGAATATCTGGTGTGTTATAAGGGCCAAAGTAGAATACGGACACAAACTAAATTTAAAACCTGATCTTTCAATGCACTTAATCAAAATCCAAATGAAAATCCAATTGTTAATTTGTTTTTTTTTTTTTCCTTTTCTGAGTCCAATCTCTTCTATTAGCTCCTCAACGATGCAACATTTTCTTTAATGTCAAATTTGCATAAAGAAATCTCTCCTCACGTTTATTTATTTAGGGATTTGGGAGGGGTTTTATTTATCCAAATCAATAAGAGGACTGCCCTAGGAATTGGCTTCCTGTTCCAGCTTTACCTCTTTCCTTCTCTTAGGAAGTAAAAACACCAGAGGTAATTTAGGATGTAACATCTTCTCTCAAAGCAAAATAAATTTTAGCATTAGGATTCAACAGAGATCATAAAGATAATTTATCTGACTCATTTTTATATCTCTACCTCTTAAACAGGTGTTGGCTCCTAAGAGGTATTCAGTATATACACTTAAGTGAATAAATGGAAGTGGCAATTGCTCAGTTTCTAAAAGGTCTAGACAACAGGAAAAATTGTCACATATAGCTAAATCTAAGCTAGACATCCATACGTATTTGCAAAGCAGTAAAATTTGCCAAAATGAGCCACAGAAATCACGAAGGATTATAAACTCCTTAAGGGCAGGAACTATGTCTTCACCATCATTTCTACTCTATATGGTGGGTTCCAACAATTATTACATGTTAAAAGATTTATTCAATCTTTGAGGACAAGCGTTTTGTCTTTTTTGTTCACTGCTGAATCTTAGACGAAATATGGTCTATGAAATCAAGGGGCTCACTGTCTAGTGGAAAAGTTGAATAAGGAAAAAAAGACTACCATAATATAGTGTGATAGGTGCTTTGAAAGACAACCCCAGAATTCTCAGGAATTGGGAGGAATGAACCTTAACAAAGATGGGAAACTACAGGAGTAGAGGAGCATGGAATGGAGGGAGGCACAGGAGGCAATCTATTCCATTCCTGAGTAGTTAAAAAATAGAAAAAAGGAACTACTACATTTCTGGATCTTCAGTTAGAAATCATGAGAAAAATGTGTTCCCTGGTAAATAAGAAAGTCAATGAAAGCAGCCAGGATTTTAAATGATGGGCTTTAAATTACTTTTATGACCCTAAACATTTAATTTCACTTCAGCATTTGTCATTTGGTTTGTACTACACTTACTTAAATAATGTCTCAAAAATAGTGGTAGACTACTAAGGTCTTGTTGGAAATTCAGATACAAGTGAGGCAAAACATTCAATTCTGTGAATGGAATCTTAACAGAGCACATGACTTCAGAAGAAGGAAAGAAGCACCACACTACACTGAAATATTAGATGTAGGTCTTAAAAAGTCAAGGCAGAATTTAACCCAAAGGCGTGGCATTTAAATAGAGAAAATAGTATGAACAACACTGATGTAGGGAAATGTAAAGCATTTTGGAAGGGCAATAATGAAGCCAATCTCATTAAAGTTTGCATATGATGTTATGTCTTGTACATTTGGAAAAGTTCAGTGACAGATCACAAAGAACTATAAGAATACGGAATTTATTCCATGGGCAAAAAAGGAGCAAGTGAAGGTTTGGGGGTAGAGAAGTGTCATAATGGAATAGACTTTCAAGAAAAGTAATCTGGGGGCATTGTTTACGCTGAACCAGAAGAAAAGGCTAGATACAGTGAAAGTAGTTAGGAGACTCCTGCAATAGCCTGGGTATAATGTGATAAGGGAATAGAGGTGTGAAAAGAAGGAAGCAATCATTTCCCAAAGGTTGGCCAGGGAGAGAGAACAAAAATATAAAGCTTCCAAACCTCAGTAACAGAACACCAGGAACACACAAAAATGCTTATAAGGGAGAACAGATTTTAGACATGGAATTCTGTAATGAGAGGTGATGGATAATAGTGGTCATTAAAACTATCAAGTCATTAAAAACACAGAAAAAAAATACTAGATAAGAATAATATAAGGGCATACCCCCAGAGACACTGTGGGTTCAGTTGCAGACCACCATAATAAAGTGAATGTCACAATAAAGCAAGTCAAATGAGTTTTTCTGGCTTCTCAGTGCATATAAAACCTATGCTTACACTACACTGTAGTCTAATAAGTGTGCAACAGCATTACGATGGCATTATGTCTAAAAGAAAAAAAAAAAAGTATATACCTTAATTTAAAAATACTTTATTGCTAAAAAAATACTTTATTGCCAACCATCATCTGAGCTTTCAGAGAGTTGTAATCACTGATCAGAGATCACTATCACCAATATAATAACAAAAAAGTTTAAAATACTGTGACAATTACCAAAATGTGACACAGAGACACAAAGTGAACAAATGCTATTGGAAAAACAGTGCCAACAGACTTGCTTGATGGTGTTACCACACATCTCCAGTTTGTAAAAAGCACAGTATCTGTGAAGTGCAATAAAACAAGGTATGCCTGTATATCACCACAGCATTTTAAAGTTTAAAAACTATTTCATATGAAGCTAAATACTGCATGAAGACAAAGAAGTGATCATTTCTATTACTGAATCTTCTACCGTTGCAGGTAAAAGGAAGGAGAAAACCTAAGAGGTTTCATTTATGCATCCAATAATAAAATGAAGTTATTAAGACAGGGAGTAGACCAACAAAAAAGGACTTCTTATTGCTTCCTTTTTCATATTACCATTCATTTTTTCATTTAGTTATTATCTTTCAAAAATATAGTTAATATGTTTTTTATAGGAGAAAATACAATTACTGTTTATCTGATAAGGACTAAAAAAACATACACCTTTGAACATATATAAGGAAAACAACAGCTATGTAAAGAAAACAAACGATTTAAAGAGCACTGACTCAGGCTGCTGGGAGCAAAAGTCATTTTAGTAAATCCTTAGATAATGTTTCTCAGGGAAAAGAAAAGTTTCTCAACTACCAGCATCCTAAGGGTTGCCAATACTTTTGGGGAGCTTTGTTACTTTTTAATAAAGATGAACTAATTGGATTGTAAACACCACTTATTTTTAATATTTGATGTACCTTATGACTTGTATAATGCATTTCTTTAGAAGTGACATCGGTGCAAGAGTGGCGGAGTTTCTCAGTGCCATCAGAACAGGGTGTTGTCCAAGTCCTGCAACATGTGGTGAAGCTGGAAGAAACCGCCCAATGTACTGCTCAATGACATTCCCAAGTAACTGGTTCAAATAGGCATTTGGATTTTGAGACTGACAACATACAATGCACATGCCCTAAGGGAGAAAAAAGAGAAGAAATACTAAAAGGAAAAGTTAAAAAAAAATATTGAGAAACTTACTAATTTAGTCCCTAGCATTAATATCCATGTCAGAATGTGCAACCACAGTCCACAGGGCACTGCCAGCATCAACAGATAATGTTTATGAGGCTCAGGGAGCTGCTGAGCCTGTGTGACTCCTGTACTGTGGTACCCAACCACACATGTGTGTCTTGGGGGTGTACTCAAACGGATCAGGGGAAGTGCAGGAAGACCAAGGAAGCTTCCTTCCTCCTCTCATACGCAGAAAACTTGAGCATCCCACTCATCAACTATGTCTGTATGTCATTTCAAAGTTATGAAACACATTTTTAGGTCAGTTTTTATACGTATGGCCTGGTCATTTAACTGAGTGAGACTCAGAATTTATACTAAAAATCTTCCAATGTAAGAAATGTGATAAATTAAAACAAAAATTGACAGGAGAGAAATGCAGAAGATTAAGACTCAGAATAATGACAATTCATTTGAAGAGTTTCATGTCAGGCACTGTACCATGTGCTTTATATCCTTTATTTCACTTAAATTTCTTAAAAAACACTGACTTAGTATTATCACATATCCAATTTCATAGCTGGGGAAACTGAGGTTTAGAGAAGTTAAGAGTTCTGTTGATTTAATCCCCTCCATTTGTATAGCTTCCATATGGATTACGGTGTTTGAGACTTAACAATTAAACCCTGAGAAATAGAAATTTTTTTCTACCAATGTTACTAAATAATGCATATTACCAAATATATATATAATCACCAACACAACGAATTATGTTCCAAAAGTTCATTTATAATTTGGCCCTTTGTGATTTAAAATGTGTTTTCCCAGAGAAATAATTAGAAATATTTGTCTCCATTTTACCTATGGATAGATATTTACTCATCAAAAAATTTTGAAAGATTTGTAATAAAAGTAACATAGAACTGTTAAAACACTAGCAAACAACAATAATTGAAAACAAAAGGGCAATGAACACCCCTCTACTTAGTTTCTTCAATGTTTTCCTTTAAAAGAAAGCACATTATTAGAAGATGATGAAGTAATAAACAAATATGTTCTGAAAACTTTGAAGAGGAGACTGGAGTACTTTTAAGTAAAGGTGTACATCTAAGTCAATTCTGCCAAATGGATAAATTCACCAAAAATTTCAGTTTACCACTTACAAAGTTTGTAAGAATTTTTTTTTTTTTTTTTTAAGTAGGCTCCATGGTGGGGCTTGACCTCACAACCTTGAGATCAACAGTTCCCATGTTTTACCAACTAAGCCAGCCAAGCATCCCTATAAGAATTCTTACTGTACTATTTTGGCTTAAAAGGGCCACAGAGAACATGTTTTCCAGATTCTTCTGCTGCCCAAGATTCCTCCCCACCAGTATTCCCTGACTGGCCATGCTTTGTGTTTCTGTCAGCAAACTAAACTTCTTTTTAAATGTTATTATCAACACAAAATTAAAGAGCCAATTAAAAATTTCTTAGAAATTATACAAATCTGTTTAAAAAGCCCATCTGTGGAAAAGACTGCTTATTACCTAATCAAATTCCATTCTCCCTTTCTTCCTCAGCTTTCCTTGCTGAACCCCAAATTAAGAAGCACTTAACTTCAGTATGAGACACTAATGAATAACAAAGTATGCTTCCAGCCCCATCTTCCTCTGAATAACAGATCAATATTTCCAAGTGCCCATCTAGACAGTACACAGCACCTCAAATGAAAGATATTCATGAATCAATTATTACCTTCACTCCCACATCTCTAGCATTGCCCATTTTAGTTAGCAGCACCACTATGTGTACAAGGACCCACTCTGGGGTCTAGGAAGTATTCTATTGCTTTCTGTTGCTCCACAACATTCTCTGAGCAAGTACTTTTAATCAGAGCTCCTAAGTGTTTCTGTGATCTGCTGTGTGAGTTCTACACCTACCGGCTTAGTTCAAAATCCTCAGATAATGAACTACTCTCTGCCCTCCAAGTCTCCAATCTAACTCCCACATCAACTATCTTAGATGTTGCCACCAGAATTACCTTTCTAAAATGTAAACATGATAGGTTGTTCCCACTTCCCTATCTAAAATCTGTCAAAATCCATCAATAATCCATACAAATCCCCATGTAAAAGAACAGGTCCAAACTTCCTAGCGTGGCACATAACACCTTCAAATATATGGCTCCTCCTGTATGAGTGTCCGATCACAACAGAATTTTTCACTCTTCCCCAGTGTGTCATACTTTCTTCAAGCTCATGACTTTTAAATACTGTTCCCTCTGACAGTCCTTCACCTCTTACCCGTGTGGCTTGTTTACAACTAATCCCCTTTACAGTGTCTTCTCTCACATCTCTTCTTCTTCGGTTGGCTAGTGGACAGCTGAAGCCTCTAAGGAAATATGGAACACACAACTCTGTCTATGCTAGTCAGCCTCTTCTCTCAACTTTAATTGCTTCTTGGAGATTTTGCTTTTTCCATCTTTGGTTTCAGGGCCAAACACAAAAGGAATTTAAAACTTGTTCAACAGAAGTGCCACATGTACACACATGCATTGAAATTATAATGCATGGTTTTCAAATCAGCAGTTAGCAAACTGTTTTAAGGCAAAGTTTGTTTGTTTGTTTGTTTGTTTATTTATTTATTTATTTATTTATTTATTTATTTATTTATTATTTTTTAACTTTCAAGCAGCCACACTTACTATACCTGGAGATACAAGGGAAGACTCTTTTGAATTGCGATCAACATAGGTGCAGGCAGTTCCTTCTCTTGCTGTAACACTGTATGTGGCAGCAGTAAACAATCTATGATCCGGAATAATAGTTTTTGGGCTTTAGAGGTGGCAAAGATCTGTGCCCATGATTTAACAAGAATTCCTGACAAAGAAGAGGAGTAACAGTAGGTATGGTTACCTTCTAACCAGAAAGTTTTGCCATTCCACTATGAAATTCATACTTAAAGCACAAAGAACCAAGTTAAAGTAGGCAATAGAAAGAAACATGTATTAGGACTGAAAAGACTGATGTCATGTCATACATTTCACTAAAGAGACAAATTTCTCTCAGAGTTCTGGTCTAAGAAAAACATACATTTCCTAAGCAACTGTTATTTAATACACACACACACACACACACACACACACACACACACATTGTGATTTGGCTATATACTATGTGAATATACAGATCGACTGCTGTAATTAATCAGATTTCTCTTTTTGCTTTGGCTGCTAGGTAACTCAGAGGCAAATTTATAATCCAACTTTAAGAACACTATAAGATACGCATTATGCTTTTATGTGTGTACTCACTTTCCCTGGGCTCCATCATGCTACTCCACATTTACGTTTTTGATACCTTTATTTCTTTATATTTTTATCTTACATAAAATTTTATAGGCTGTCTCAACCCAGTTTACAACATGAAAAGATAGAGCTAAATTTAATTGTTAAAGTAGTAGGAAGGATTAGCTATAGCACCTTGAAGCAATCACTTAACCTCCCTGAACTCCACTTTTTATAACTTTCAATTGTTTAATATACACAGTGAGTTTAAATTTTGATGCTGAAAGAAGAGATGCAGACTTCTTTACTACAGGAAATGTATTATGATTTGCTTAATGCTAGGAGTCAGTTGCTACCTTTGATGATAGTAAAGCCAAACAAATGAGCACCCTTTGTTTAATGAAGTAATTAAGAGCATTTATGTAGTTCCCATTAGAGTGTACTCCTGCTATTAAGGGCTTCTCTACTGAAAAAACAAATTTAAAAGGAGATCATTAAATGCTTGCCCAAGTGGCATTAGTGGTATATGTACTGCATAAACTTTTATATTTTATTCCATCTTAGAAAGCAAAAGAGATGATAAACGTCAAAGCCATTTCCATAAAACAAAAAGTTTAAAATTCAACTCTGAAGGGAAACGAAAATACGCTTATAGAGGAATGTATTGATGTTAAAAGAAAAAAGCCCAGCCAATAATCACTTCTAAGAACAACAAACAGCAACATTAATCTTCTGTTGTAAAAGGAAATACAATAATCAATCATAAAGAAACACAATGCTCACTTAGCAATATTTTAAATAACGCTGGCTTGCTCATTTTTTTCAGTAGGTGGAAAACTTGCGAATGACAGCAGTGTAAGAAGAACTCACATCCTAACTAACATTAATATGCCCATAAAGGGAACTGCCATCACCACTGACATTTTAAATGATTTATATCACTCTTAGGTGTCACACAGGAATTGACTTATAAAGAGCAAGGGCCTTCCAACCAAAAATGCATCACCTACCCTTGTATTTCATCTTCTGCAGTGGTTAAAACACTTTGCTGAAGATCTTAAGTTTTATGAGTTCATAGAAGGCAGAGGAGATCCATTTGTTTTACTGCCAAATCAGAACCCTAGTTTTTAAGTTTCAGTGAAGAATATTTAAGTGTGTCGTATTAATAATGCAAAGAGAAAGAAATTTTTTAAGTAAAAGACTTGGAGAAAGGTTAAAATACATAGAGTAGCTTTGTTAAACAAACAAACAAACAAACAAACAAACAAACAAACAAACAAACAAAACCAGTCTTTTTTCTGGCTATAAACATACTACGTATTTAAGCGATGCTGCTGAAAATGCAGGGGCACCTAGGTGGCTCAGTCTGTTAAGCGTCTGACTCTTGATTTCGACTCCAGTCATGATCTCAGTTTGTGAGATCAAGCCCTGAGATGGGCTCCACGCTGACAGTGTGGAACCCTGCTTGGGATTCTCTCTCTTCCTCTGCCCCTCTGCTTCCTCTGCCCCTCCTCCTGCTCACACTCTTTCTTTCAAAATAAATACACTTAAAAAGAAAAAAAGAAAATGTAGAAAAATTGTGGGGAGCATACTTCTACAATTGAAAGAGATCTGCACTGTAAGAGTCCTTATGTGTTTACTTATTTCCTACTCTATGCATATACTATGCCTAAAAAAAAAAAGGAGGATTGGGATCATTATAATAGGTGTTTAAAAATGTATTTATAGTTAGAAAGTAACTTTACTCATTTAGTAACACTAAAAGTTACATTATGTTCTATTAGCTAAGTTTATAAAATTGTTAAATTCTAGAAATATTTATTTAGTATATTTAGTTAGTATTTATTTAGTATATACCATCTCCTACACTGGAGAAGCTCTTTCCCAATCCAGTGCCCAATATATAACTCAGGAAATGTTCTTATTTGTTCAAAATACAACATGATGATGGGAATAAAAAGTTAAAAAGATATGGCCACTATCATAAATTTAAAATTTTAGTAGGGACAAACCAAGTACACAAATAATTATAATAACTGGCAAGCTATGAAGAATGTTGTAAGAGATGGACAGCTGAAGCTTAATCAGGGAGACCAGGTCTACCTGAGAGTGTGGAAAACACAGAATATTAGGATAGGCACTGAGGATCATGGGTAGAGTTTCAATTACAAAGACAAAAGAGGAGGAATGGCTAAAGAGAGAAGAATGATCAAAAGAAAAACATGGGAACAGAAAAAGTAAGAGATGTGAAGAGAAAAACCATAAACATTAATATTAAGATTAAGAACACTGAAGACAGTACTCATGAATCAATCCTTTCTCAGAAATTACTGAGTTACAATTAAGACCTCAGATGCCTTCATCTGAAGTGTGATTTTATCAAGTTTGCACCTTCCACTAGCAGCCTTGTAAGTAAACAGCAGAGGTATCCCCAGTTAGAAACTAGCAAGGTAAATAAAACAGTTTCTGTGGTTACCTCACTTTCCCTGAAGTGAGTATGATACCCCAAACACACATACTTCAAGCACATTTGAACTCTAAAAAGTTTATACTTGCTCTTCCTCCAATTTGTTCTGAGCCTCTTACATAAAGAAGAAAGCAAATGATCTGTTCCTAATTTTTAACATATAAAGGGGCAACACTGTACCAATATATTCTATTCGCAGTCTCTGAGATTTAGACAAAAGAAAAGAATACCGATCTACCTTCCAGTATGCCAATCATGTAATACAACAAAGGAAGGTCCTCAATTCTTCATAGGTCGACATATTACCAAACCAAATATGATTTTGCAGTTAGGACTATCACATATTTTGTAAAATAAATATATCTCCTGAAATCATAAATTTAGCTTGGCAAAAATCTAACAGAGGCTAATACATTATAAGGCTACATGCTGAAATACTTATTAATCTACATTTTACTATGTTAAATTTATAAGTTATCATTTCTGTTTTCCTCTAAAATTAAGATGCCTGAATTGCTACTATAGCTTTCACTACATTCTACATCATCCATATTTAGACATTTTTGCATTCTCCTTTATCTTTCACAACAAAGATAAAAGGTTTCAGACAGCTTAAATCAGGTTTATTCATATGTTCACAAGATCAAAGGGAGAAGATATAAGGTTTTGGCCACAGAGAAATTAAAAAAAACAAAAACATAAACCTTAAATTCTGTTATAAAAACTTCTAAGGAAAATTTTCTCATTTCCCTTTATCCAGTTCCTATTTTTGGTTAGTAACATGGTTTTAGTGAACAAAGGTATTCAAATTACTAACTTCCTCAAGAAGGATGAACTATGTTGTTATAGCACAGGCACAGAAAAAGATTTCTTTTCGAAAGGAGAAAACATAGTATTGTGAGAAGCAAGATTTGAAGCATAAATATCTCTAGTGCCATAGTAAATTCTTTCCTGACCTCCTTCACACAGAGCAGACCAGATAAATAGAAGTGATGGTTTCCTGATATTTTAAATTCTAAGAAAGCACAGATAAGCCTTAAAAAAAGTCCATTTTTATCATCCAGGTATTCACAGTGTGAGTGATTCACAACAGACTATTGATATCAAATTGGTATGAGCATATTTTCTGTTTTGGTCATAATTAATTTTAATATTAACACAAGCTGTAACAAGGAAAGTTCTGAAAGGAGGTGGGGCAGGATAGGGATACAGCAATAGAAAGCCAACATGAATTATTGTAAGCTAAATCTTTGTCTTTCAAATTATTCTTATGATTGTATGGAGAACAGTGATTTAGTCAGTGTATTAGAATATTCCTATCATGATACTATAGGCTCAACATAAGGAAGTTTCGATAACGTCAGGAGTACATACCCATCATCCTGTAAGTCAGTTGCAGTCCTGCACTAGAAATTTTTTTTCCCAAATAAGGTTTTATATATTTTAATATTTCACCAAGGTATTCTAAGGACTTTGTGACCATGGCAGATTTATCAGAAAGTGTCTGCAGATTCCCATAAGTAATACCAATAGCCTATAAAATAAGGAAAAACATGATTTAGATTTCCAAGTTTCATACAGTATAGACTTTGAAAAATAAAGAAAATTTCTCTCTCTACACAAACACACACACACCCTTACATTTAAGTTTACATCCTTAACTTTCCAATAAATGTTCACAGCAATTAAAAAAATTGAAGACTTTCAATTAAAAAGAATGAATTCTTACCTTTTATAATTAAAATAAAGGTTAAAAGAAGAATTAAAAAAAAAATCAATGGAACTGATATAAAAGAAGTTTATAGCCAAATTACATCACGACTTCCAAACATCCTGGCACACAACTGGCAATCCCCAAATTCCTACAAGTAAAATCTACAAGCAACATGACCAAATTCTTACACGTATGACCTCTCTAAAGTTCAGTTATATGATATGGATTGATTTTTCCCTGCAAAATTTTATGAGCCATTAGATGCTAACTTTCTCAGAGGAAAAATGATGAGGCACAAAGGACAGAGATAGCAAAATGGTGAGGTGGTAGAGAGAAATGTGAGGTGAGGCGGTGAGAGAAGAGTGAAGTGTGAAAAGGAAGAGAAATAAATGAAAGAATAAGTTGAGGAAAGGTGAGAATAAGAGGTGACAAGTCACAAAAAGAATCAAGAGAAGACTGGCTACAGATAGGTTAGAAGGTTTGAGAAGAGTAGCAGTTTTCAAACCATTATTGGCGACTTAGAGTGGATTTCAATGACCTAAATTGGACACAATGGTACCAATACAGTTACATGATTTTTCTCCTGCAGCTCTCAGCAGATAAGACAAAGGAGAGAAAGCAAATGGTTGCACTAATCCAAGGTTGAGGGTTTGTAGGTGTAACCAAAAGACCAAAGATGGAAGACTGAAAGGATGATGATAAGAGTATACCTGCAGTAAGGCCACCAAGGGGTCTAATTAAGATGGATGGGGAAGAAGTGAGACCTTGAGAGGATGTTGCACTTGGAGAAAAGGAAGTGGAAGGTCACTTGGAGGTCTGGAGGCACAGGTGGTGATCATCAAAGAGTTCTCAGATAATCCAATGATGCCATAGCTCAAGGTTTAGTCATGGGAGTGGGCAGATGAAGCAGAGCAGAAGTGAAGATCACTAAAGACTTGTGGAGTTTTGAAATGAGGGATTAGGATAAGTTATTCAATGTGATATTACAGTTAGTCAAGTTGATAACAAAATGTAGAATGTAGGAAAAGAAGGAATATAGTGAACTGGAGTGACTGACAGATGAAAACAAAAGATATACTTGATGAACCTTTTATTTTTATTTAGCTTTCTGCCCTTGGTTCTCTACATTTCTTTTCCTAGACCAGAAGTTCTCAAACTTCAGTTCCCTTTCGTATGCTTAAAAGTTGGGATCTTAAGGTGCTTACTATTATTTGAGCTATATCTATTGATATTTACCATATAAAAAAAGAGAAAATTTAAATTATGTACTAGTTCACTTAAAAATAAGAAGCATTATATGGGGCATCTGGGTGGCTTAGTTGGTTAAGCATCCAGCTCTTGATTTTGACTCAGGTCATGATTTCACACTTCGTTGAGTTCGAGCCCTGCACTGGGCTCTGTGCTGACAGCACAGAGCCTGCTTGGGATTCTCTCTTTTCCTCTCTCTCTGTCCCTCTCCTGTTCATGCACGCTCTCTTTCCCTCTCTCTCAAAATAAATAAATAAACTCAAAAAAGTAAAAATAATAAGCATTATACATTAACAGAGTAAAATGTTTTTATGGAAAAGAACTTTATTTTTCAAAACAAAAAAAAATTAGTGAAAAGTGACAATTTTTACATTTCTGCAAAACTCTTTAAGTTCTGGCTTAACAGAAGACAGCTAGATTCTCATATTTGTCCTTACACACAATTTGTTGTAATATGCTGCAGATGAAAACAATTCAATCTCACAAATACATGTAACTGGAAGAGAAATAAGTTATTTTAATAGACATTTCAGGTAACTATGGGAATCCCTCTTTGATATTACACCAAAACTTGACAAGTGATATTTCTTAAAGGTTAATTGTATTATGGAACTCAAAACCGTGTCAACAAATATTCTGTACTCTTCTGCATTAAAAGCCACTGCTCTATTTTGCTTTCTTAATGAATGTTTAATACTCCTGCATGCTTTAAAATTTTTTTTTTTCAACGTTTATTTATTTTTGGGACAGAGAGAGACAGAGCATGAACGGGGGAGGGGCAGAGAGAGAGGGAGACACAGAATCGGAAACAGGCTCCAGGCTCTGAGCCATCAGCCCAGAGCCTGACGCGGGGCTCGAACTCACGGACCGCGAGATCGTGACCTGGCTGAAGTCGGATGCTTAACCGACTGCGCCACCCAGGCGCCCCACTCCTGCATGCTTTTAAAAAGCCTGTACTGGTCATTTGGAAAATTCTAGTTCACTGAGTTAGCTTGCCAATGTTGACACATTTCACTTATCCACTAAAAAAATCCTATTTGTTAATACCACCACCAATGTCATCAGAAAAGTCTTTAATTATCATGAAGCTCTCAAGCTAATGGCAAATGCTTGTTTTCCAAAATTCTAATTTTCTTAAAAGCTCAAATTGTGTTATTAGCAACAAACACCGTCAGTTGTTTTCTTTGAAGTGATACTCATTTCACTCATTTCTGAGCAAATGTCTGCCAAATACCCAAGTCCGAACAACCATACTTTGTTAGTTGTTCTTTCAAGATCAAAGCAGTCAGGTCAGCTTGTAACTCAAATTATTACATAAAGTGTTGTTTTTGGACAACCACCTCACTTGAAGCAGGTGTGCTTTTAAGTGCACTTTCCATTGTCATTCATAGGACATTACAGACATGTACTCAAAGGTCAACATTTAATAAATTTAATAATTTACTGTTTCATTAAGAATATTCTTAAGTGAGACTGGGTTCTTTTTTTTTTTCTCTTGTGATTGCGTGGCAGTGAAAATTATGACCACCAATATAACATTGGGCCATGGTGTTGATTTGTGCTAAAGTTTCTGCACCGTTTGTGCAAATGTCAATACACTTTTGAGCTTTAAAATTCCTGAAAAGGTATCAGCAACCCTCAGATGCCTATGAAACACAATTTTGAGAACCATTGATCTAGATCTCAGTATTTCTCTGTGTTTAGCCTTAACCTCCCAGGACTATAAGACATATGTATTTCTCAGACTATCTCAGGGATTTCTTTGACTCTATTTACTTGTCATACTATCATTTCTATGTAAGAAAGAGTTAACATGGTAGGCCATAGACTGCTATCTTTAAAAAGGTGTATTTTTAAGTTTGGCCCTTGGTTGGTGATTGGGAACTTAGGTCTTTCCCACCATTTCCCGGTAAGTATGGCTCACTCAACCTAAACTGTCTGTGCGAACAATATAGTTTACACTGAATATCTGCCTCTCTTTTGGGAGTCTGGAATTTTCTAAGTGCTAGGCAAAGGGGGCCTATGTGAAAACCCTCGGGCAGACAGCAGACAGCATTTCAGATGTGTTGTCACAATTCCTAGTTGGAAGAATTAAGTATGTCCAGGGCAACATCTGGGAGAGGACCCTTGGAAACTGCCTGGTGTCTCCAGACTTCACCCCATGCTGACTGAACTTTGAATTCTTTCATTGTAATAAATCACAGGTGTGAGTACAACTATATGCTGAGCTCTGAGTCCTCCCAGAGAATCACATAGTACACGGGAATGATCTTGGTGACACCTTACACCAATCTCAAACTAAACCAGTTTAAAACTGAACTCCTCACCTACTTCTCCCTCACCCTAAGTCATGTGCTCCTATTTCTCCTTAAGGTATCATCATTCTTTTAGTTAAACACAGTATTTCTTTCACATCCCTTCAAAATTTCATAATTCAATTTTTACTTCCTTCTAAATCAGCTAGTTTCTGGCCAACACCTTCACTCTAATCTACTGTTAACTAATTTTCTTAAAAAGTCATTTGATCAAATCAGACCTACTTAAAAATGTATAAAGCCTTCATACTGTTCACAGAAGAAAATCCAAACTTCTTAGACCAAGATGCTCTGAATTATTAACCTACTGAATGATCTATAAACTGACACTTCGCATACACTGTCTTACTATTTTAACCTTTGTGTTTATCCTGTATTCTCAGACAAGTAAAAAGTTAAGATCAAGGACTACTTCTTTTGTTTTTGCAAACCCCTAAGAAATCCTGGCATAATACCATCTAGCATTTAGCAAACAATTATTATTTAGTGAGTGATGAAAGAACAATTAATTGGACGGGATGAAATTAGAAGACTCTTTGGAAACTATTAGTGAAGTACATGACCTCTACCTCCCTTTCTGATCCTGTATGGTTCCTAGGATAGGTGTTTAAGTACAAGTGAAGATCCGATCAACAACTAAATAAAAGGCTCAAAAGAAATGGCCATTTCATATCTGTATGAACTATTACTAAATATTTTTAGGATTTATATGGTATCACTAATTGTCATACAATTGTACTTTAACTTAATAGAAACCAGTGGAAGAATTCACATTTGTGGCAATAGCTTATAGCTGTATTTATTTTCACTGCAGTTAATGCCAACTGCTCTGTGGGAAAATAAACCAACTTTTATTGTGAATAGCTTACAAAACCACTAATCCAAACACATGAACAGCTTCAGCAAGGATGCAAAGCAAAGACTATCACATAATATAAATTCCTGCAAAATTAATAAATAAAAGTCAAATGCTGAAAGGGACTATTTATTATGGAGACAAAGCTAAAACAAATGATTGGATTTTAAGGCCCCAACCATAATGATATGAAACACTTAGTGTTTATGCTAACTACAATAAAATTTTACTGTAAAATTTACTATTTGCTACAGGGTGGTAAACATTAAGTTAGAACTATTATGGACCCTGTATAAGGAAATCTAGTTCCCAAGAATCTGGAGAATACTGCTACCTAGGAACTTCAGCAATAAGATATTCCTACAATTGACACAAGCCTTAGTGTGAGGCTTTTATGTAGCATTCCTTAGTCACTACTTTTCATTAAATGTACTTCTTTTGCTGTCCTTAATATAATTGTCCTCAACAAATATATTCTGTAATTGTACTAAATCACTGATTCACATTTTTATTCCTCCTTAATTTTATAATAGCAGGCAACCAATAATATGATTCATTTAAAATAATTCATTTTATAGACAAATTTCATAAACACTTCAAGTTTTTGTGAAAAATAATTATAATTCATCTGGACAATTACACTAATAAATGAAAAATACCTCAAAAAATAGAGTAAGTGCTTTTGTAGGGTCTTCTGGACTGGATAAATATTCAACTTGAGCCTTTGAAAAAATATTCTTTACTTCTGAGAGTTTAAATAGCAACCTTGTCAGTTCAGCCAACTGTCCCAAGTACTCTTTTTCTGTTAAGATAAAAATAATATAATAATATTCATAGGTTTATTATATAAATTTATGTTACATAGATGAGAGTAAGGAATGCAGCATTCATGTATAACATTCTTTTTAAAATAAAATTCAAATTTCCACATAATTAAAAACTTTCAATTAAGTCTCTAAGGAAAAGTTTTATTTAAAACCAAAAAAACATATACTTGTGAATACACAAGCCCCCAAATTTTTTCATGTCAAGCCGATTGATGTAATAAGATATCACAATGAATTTGGGGCATTTTTTTCAGTCCAAACTTTGTGTGATTTACAAATGACCATAAAGAATAGCTTTCGGAAAAGGAATGTCCTGTGGGCAACCAGAACTGAATGATATTTAAAAAAACAATAATAAAGTATAAGTATCAGTCTGTGAATAATAATAGTAAAGCAGAGGAGAGGTAAAATATCTAATATAAAATAGGAGAGAAGTATTCACAATTAGATACTTTTCTTTTTAGGGTGTTAACAGTGTGATATCTGGTTATTTGCTTTACAGTTCCACCTTTTTTTGTGATTTGTTTCTTCAAGGTAAAAAGATAGCTTGTCACCTGAGAGCAAGTTTTTGTTCCTGGCTTCCAAGGAAACAAGTTCTTTTATCTTTATAGGAGAGAAATTTGTCATATATAACAGGGAAATATCAGGAAAAAGAAACAGGCTGCAAAAGAAAATGTACACACACACACACACACACACACACACAAAACATGTATATATATACACAAACATTTTATATAACAAATATATTTTTCATCTTTTTCTATTAATTTGTGTAACAAATCAGGACATTTTAAACATTATTTAGCTATCTAGAAAGTAAAATGCCGGGGCGCCTGGGTGGCGCAGTCGGTTAAGCGTCCGACTTCAGCCAGGTCACGATCTCGCGGTCCGTGAGTTCGAGCCCCGCGTCAGGCTCTGGGCTGATGGCTCAGAGCCTGGAGCCTGTTTCCAATTCTGTGTCTCCCTCTCTCTCTGCCCCTCCCCCGTTCATGCTCTGTCTCTCTCTATCCCAAAAATAAATAAACGTTGAAAAAAAAAAATTAAAAAAAAAAAAAAAAAAAAAAAAAAAAAAAAAAGAAAGTAAAATGCCTGAAATACTTACCAACTGCCTGTCCAGGATTTATATCAATGAACAAATCATCAGGCACATAGAAGTTTTTTATATACATTTGCAAAATGCAACGAATCCATGATCTTACAGTTAAGGCTTGGAAAGATACACAGCCTGAATGAGAAAGTGCTTCACATAACATGCTGTAAAAACAAGTTGATGGATATTAAAACCAAAACCAAAACCAAAACCTTACAATATATTCCCTGAGTATAGAGATTAAGAAATAAAGGACAAATTCTAACACACCCCACTTCTTGGCTTGTTTTATAGACACACACATTAATTCAGATATACACTGCTGAAAATAAACACTAGAGATACACAAAAAAGGGTATTTTATATAAAAATTTTTGCTTTCATCTATAGCAGTTCTAATTTTTAATATTTATTTATTTTTGAGAGAAAGAGAGCATGCGAGTGCAAGCATGAGTGGGGGCAGGGCAGAGAGCTGAAGTCGGACGCTCAACCGAGCCACGCAGGCGCCCCTGACGGTTCTAATTTTTAATTTCCTTTTTCCACTGATGGCAAATGTGCAGGTTTATGCCAAGGGCAAGAGGTAAGGAGAATAAGGTTAAAATGGGAAAATCTAGAAAGGGGCTTATAAGTAGCTAGGTGACATAATAAAGGAAGTGGCAAGTAGAAAAAAAAACAGTGGCCCTTAGAGTAAATAAAAAGAAGTGGTCATGACCATTTATGTAAGACAAGAGTTAATGACAAAGATTTCTGTGTGAGTCTTCTAACCAATTCCATACCCATCCCTTTCTTTCCTGCTATACCACTCCACAGGCGGTCATTATTGAAGAATTACAAAGTAACATCTGACAGAAAAAAAATAAAACCAAAAATCTTTCTGTGAAGCCAAAAGCCTGGCTAAATCTGATATTTAACCATTTTATAACTGGGGGGTAGAAAGGATGAGGGTGGTCTTAGCCTAACTATGAAGTGCTAGGTAAAGTCAGAAATTTGAAAAATACATGTAAGTCATAACTCTAAAAATATTGCTTTGAACAGAAGACGTCCCAAAGAGTACACAGTGCCGAAGAACTAAGGTTTGTCATTTATGACCTATACAACCTTTCCAAAGTTCTTTAACACCTTTGCATTTCAGTTTCTTCAACTGTTACAAATATATCAAATACTATTTTTTAAACTAAACTTATTCCAGACAGTTTCAGCAGAAGTATTTAATAAATACTGTTTGTTATTATAGAATTAGCAAGCTAGAAGAGACTAAAAGTAATCCAATCGAAGTTGAGCTCCCTTACTTCATGACTTAAAGCCAATGAGAAGATGGCTTACTGACTGCTTAGTGGACTCCCTTATGCGAATACCTCACTGACCGCATCCCTCTTCATCTGGACAGGAACTACAGTGGTCTCCCAGGTTTGTGCATTTATTTTCCCTCATCTTACTATTCTTTTTCAAATCTTCCCGATTACACTATTTCTATTGTAACTTCATTTACTATATGTTTTTCCTACTGGAGTTCCTCAGATCTGTTATATAATGCAACAGGAGATACAGATAAGGAAACCAGGGTTCAGGGTGATGAAGTGTTGTGTTCCTAATTGTACAAGAGTTGAGTCTAAAAATCTAGCTGTGAAAGGGAAAGCTATCATTACACCTAAAAATACAATATACTTGTATTTTACAGAACCAGCAATATTAATTACATAATTTCTTTCACAAAGGTGAATATAGAAAGGTAATTTCAAGATGAAATAAAGGTAGTCCTACAAAAACAGTTTTAAAAAAAAGCTTTTAAGCAGCAAGTTTTATGTTTATTTTTATTTATTTATTTATTTTTAAGGCAGGCTACTGCCACTGTCAAATGCTGATACATCCAAAAGCAAAAACCACCAAAGTGTCAGTATATGTACGAAGATCAGTTTTTATTTGTGAAAATTCTTACTTTCCTAGTACACTGATCTATCATGAGTTTCTATACATGTGCATACCTGAAATCAAGTCACTTACCTATTTTGTAGGCAATGACTTAAATATCTTGCTACAACCTGGGGCCAGATGATATCATCCCAACCAAAAAGCTGTATTATTGATATAACTGGCTGAGGCTGAAGATCTGATGGAGCTGTGCTGGGCATGTCCAATGCTAGCAAAGTAAAATCTAGATTTAAAATGAGAAAAAATTTATGGTGAGGAATTTTTTTCTTTAAATTAACAAAAATTAAAATTTTTTTTTTTTTTTAAATTTTTTTTTCAACGTTTTTATTTATTTTTGGGACAGAGAGAGACAGAGCATGAACGGGGGAGGGGCAGAGAGAGGGGGAGACACAGAATCGGAAACAGGCTCCAGGCTCCGAGCCACCAGCCCAGAGCCCGACGCGGGGCTGGAACTCACGGACCGCGAGATCGTGACCTGGCTGAAGTCGGACGCTTAACCGACTGCGCCACCCAGGCGCCCCTAAAAATTTTTTTTGACAGAGAGAGAGCATATGTGTACTCTTGAGTGTGGGGTGGGGAGTGTAGAGAGAGAGGGAGAGAGAGAGAGACAGAAGGAGAGGATCTTAAGCAAGCTCCGTGCTGAGCATGGATATGGGGCTCGATCCCATGACCCTGGGATCATGAACTGAGCCAAAATCAAGAGTCGAATGCTCAACCAACTGAGCCACCTGGGCACCCTTATAGTAAGGAATTTTTAAAAACTATTTCCCCTCCCCAAATTATATCAATAGTGATAAAAAGAATTCACTCAATAATAAAATGTCACATGTAGAAATGCAGAACAAAAAGCAAACTGAACTATATTCATGTTGCCAAAGAAATTTCCGTAGTGATTACATAATCTCCAAGAATGGGTCTAGAATAATCTATTTCAGCATTATCATCATGGAATCTATAATGGCTTCCTCAAATTCCAAATTCTACATCTGATGTTTGTACCCCTTCATTGAAAAATCCCATTTATTTTATTTTTAAAAAGTTTTTAAATGTTTAATTTTTGAGAGTGAGTGTGTGCACGCGCGTGTGAGCGAACATGAGTGGGGGAGGGGCAGAGAAGGAGACAAAGAATCCAAAGCAGACTTCAGGCTCTGAGCTGTCAGCACAGAGCCCAATGCAGGGCTTGAACTCACAGACTGTGAGATCATGACCCGAGCTGAAGTCTGACGCTTAACCGACTGAGCCATCCAGGCGCCCCTCAAAAAACCCATTAAAAAAAATATTTCTAGCATCTATTTCTCTCCAATCAAGCTAATGTACTTGCCACCTGCCACAGAGAAGACTTTGGTCTCAGACAATGGATAGTCTTCCATTAAATGGTAATTTCCTAGTAATCAGTGACACTCCACTTTCTTCAGAACCTACTAAGCCTAGGAACTAGAATTCCCTAGTTAGCCACATTAAACAAATATACTTTATTTTGTGATTTCCTGGGAATTCCCCAACTTAATTTGTATTATATTAATTTATGTTTGTCAATAGACTGCTTATGAAGCACTGGCTCCTCCGTACCTCCCTCAAGCGGTGGCTGTGTATTCTCCCACTTCTCTCCTACACTTGACCTACAGATAGCGGAGTTTGCGCCTTGGTCCCGAGGCTGCTTCTAGACCATTCTCCCCTTCCTCCTCTTGAAAACCTCCAGCTTTGACTCTCATGTCATTCCTTGTTCATCTCCCTCATTCCTTTAAGACTATAGCTCACTAACCACATCCTCTCTAGCAGTGCTCCTGTCATAATCCTGGATGGCTTTTCTTCCGATATCCTGGCCTATCAGTTTCTTGAACTCCCTTCCTCAGCGAATCTATCTTCCACTCTATTTCAGCCATTTACTCCCATGCTGATACTGTGAGACTTTGGCATTAGCAATAAGTACATTCTCTCCCGCTTTCTGGCACCTCCACCCAATTGGAGGGGTTTTCCAACTCTCTTGTCTCTAGGTCTCCAACTCCCAACAACTATCTGATTCCACCAAGACCTACAATTCATTGATCCGACAACTTTTTCCCTGTCCCTCACTGCCTTCATGCCTTTCCTTTTTTAGGCAGCTTTATTGCACGGTCCACTGTTACGCTAGTTTTGTGTACTGTCCACTCCCTTGCTTCTTACTTGATTCATTGTATTTCTCTGGAAAAAGCAAATGTTTAATTCCAACTCTTGGTCTTCTCTTGCTATGTACCTGCTCCAGTATAAATGGCTGGCAAGGAATCCTACTGACTGATCTCACTTTAAATTTAGGACTATAAACTTTAAGTTAGACCTTAGAGCTGGCCAGCATTCCTGATACATTACTCCAGTCCATTCAGAATTTACTCTCCTGGAGGGCTACTGCATACCTTCTTTCCTCTCTCTGTCGTTAGCCAGCACCACCTCCCCATCCCCACTTTCAGCTAACGGCCTTACTTACTACTTCACAAAGAAATGAGAAACATCAGCCGAGAACTACCACAAGCTCCTGGCACATCTACCTAGCTGCCTGTTCTTGGACCCCCCCTTTTTTAAGTTTGTTTGTTTGTTTATTTATTTATAGAATGCACATACACTGGGCACATTAGCAGAAACATCAGGTGTAGAATTTGGAATCTGAGAAGCCATTATAGATTCCACAATGATAATGATGAAATAGATTATTCTAGACCCATTCTTGGAGACCTTTATGATCACTGCACAGAATCCCAAGCAGGCTCCACACTGTCAGCGTGTGGAACGTGACATAGGGCTCGAACTCACCAACTGTGAGGTCATGACCTGAGCCAAAATCAAGAGTCGGTCACTTAATCATCTGAGCCACCCAGGTGCCTCTGGGCCCATTTACTCTGCCTTCTCTTCTGCTCCTACAGATCATCTGAGGCCAAGTCTTTTATAGGATCCCATTTCTCTTAGACATTAAACCACAAGTGACTACCATGCATCATTAAGTTTTCCTTTACTCCAAACATTCATGTCAGGATTATAAATATGCTGAAATTTCGCCCATGTTATTAAAAAAAAAAAAAAAATCTCTTTGACCCACACCTCCTTCTAGCTAACATCTCCATTTTTCTACTTCTCTTAAACAGTGATACTCAAAAAGATATATCCACATTTGCAGTCTGTAATTCATCTTCTCACATTTTCTCTTAAATCACCTTTAATCAGGACTTTGTTTCTAGCACTATACCAAAACTCCTTTTCAGGGTGACCACTGACCTTCCCTCTTGCTAAATCCAGTGCCCAATCTCAGGCTTCATCTTTTTTGATCCATTAATAGCATTTGAGCAGTTGATGACTTCCTCTTCCTTGAAATCCTGTCATTTGATTTCCAGGGCAACACACTTGGTTTTCCTGTTGCTTCACTGGCATTCCTTTGCAGTCTCCTCTCTTGGTTCCTTTTTATCCCACAAATCTGAACATGGGAGTATCCTGGAGCCCAGTCCTCATGCTTCTCTCTTCACCAAACTTACTCTATCGATGATCTCATCCAGTTCACAGCTTTAATGACTATACACAGTTCCCAAATTTAACCTCTTCTCTGAACCCAACACTTATTATCCAAGCGCCTGCTTTTCTTAGAGTTTCATGGGTATCTAAAAAAAAAGTCCAATATCAAAATCCTAGTCTTCCCTCATAAAATCTGCTTCTGTCACAATTTTCCTCACCTCCATAAATGAGGAATTCTCTCTTTATTCTGCTTACCATATTATACCCACCTAGAAATTCTGTCAGGTCTACGTTCAAAATACTCTGTGTACCTTCTGACTGGAAATCCAACCGCTTCTCACCACCTGTACTGTTACCATGTTAGCTCAAGCTGCTCATTTCTGAATTGTCAACGGTTCGCTAACTGGCCTCCCTATAGTTGGCTCTCAGTCTAGTAGCCAGAAGGGTGCTCCTCACTGCTTTGCTCAACACTTTTTCAAAAGCTTCTAATCTCAGAGTAAAAGCAAAGAGTCTTTCCAACTGCATACAAGGCAGAACACAAGCTAGCTCTTCAGTACCTTTTGGTTATATATCTGGACTCTCCCTTCCTTTCTTATGCCACACAAGCTTTTATGGCTTCTCTGTGGTTCCTCAAGCACACCAGACATGCTCTTGCTTCTGTTCTTGTGCAGAGCATTGGTCTCTGACTTCCTTCAGGTCTTTGCTTAAATGGTACTTACTCAAGCCTCCCTGACAATTCTATTTAAAATTACAATCTGCCTCTGGCATTCCCTATCCTCTCTGATATATTTTTATTTTTCTCCAAAAACAATTATCACCTTTTATTACATATCTTGCTTACTTACTAATTGTTCTCTCCCCTGCACTAGACTAGAAGTTCAATGAGAACAGGTAACTTACATGTGAGAAAAGGAATTGCAGTCCTTTTCCCATTGGTAATTCCACAATGACATTACCATAAAATAAATGTGGGTGTTCGATGACTGTTGTTTTTAATGCAGGAAACTTTTTTCTCCTAACCTATCAAGTCTTTACTTCAAAACAAACCCCTATAAGTATGTGTGTGTGTGTGTGTGTGTGTGTGTGTGTGTGTG